CAGACTGACCACATCACTATGTCCCTCACCTTGGGACATGCAGGAGAACAGCAGTGTGTCTTTCCCGTTGCCATCTCTGCCGTGGGCATGCCGTGGAGGTGCCATGAGAGAGCGAGGAGCTTGCAGCAGCAGCAGCAGCAGCAATGATCTGGCTCCCAGGGACCAGCAACCAGCTCCAGGCTGGTTGGGCACCACCAGCGTGAAGATCTCTCCCTGTCCCAGCCCTTCCACAGGGAAAGTCACCATATCAGCTGGTGAGCCCTGGAGAGAGCCTGGCAATGCACAGCATAGGAAAGAGGTGACAGAGCATCCTTGCTCCTCCGCTGGGATCACTGCCTCTCCTCCCCCCAGGGAACTACTCCTGCCTTTCACCATTCCCAACCGGGCTGCCATTGGATTTACACTTTTCCGATGTGTGTGATCCATGGTTAGCCCTTGCCGTGGGGTTCGACTTGTCCCTGCTTTTGCCATGAATTACTCTGAGCCAGGCTCACAACCCCCTGGCACAGCCCCATCTCCCAGAAATACACCAAGACCCAGGGTGGGACTTGGATCGAACACAGCCTTGCACCCTGTATCAGCATCAAACCAGCAGCTCAGCTCCATCATCCATTCCCAAATGGATAGTAGAAGAGCTTGCTGGAAAAGGCTGTAAATGATTTACGGCTCGTGAGAGGGAAGGACATATGCTGTCAAACCCACGTTACAGCCCTCCCACACCAGCTGAGCAAGCGAGGTCATCAACAGAGTGGTGATGCAGTGAATGAGGAGGGCTGGTAAGAGGCAGGGCAGCCGTGCCTGCTCTGCCAGAGCAGCTTCTGCCCGAAGGCTTTCCGTAGCCCTGAGCAGCCCTGAGCAGTAGGGAGATACATAGAAGTGCTGGGAATGCAACGAAGTAGCACATTGCAGGAGTACCCAAGGGGTGAAGCTTGAAGCAGCCTGGGCTTCTGTCCAGGGAGATCTAAAGCTCCATGGAAGGAGGGAAATATAGGTGAAAAGCTGCCCTAGATTTGAGATCAACAGTCTGTAATCTAAATGGAGTTGACCTCCATGGTGGTGCAAATCAGGAAGGGTTGATGAGGTCTTGGATAATGTGTTGCCCCCTTCATCATGGAGAAGGATGTGTGCTGCCCACTGTCTGTAAAGAACCTGTTTGCCCCCCTCCTTAGGCAAGAGCGATGATGAGGACAGCATCTGCAAGCTGGGCCAAGTCTCAGGGAAGGGTGCCGAGGACGGGAAGGATCACAAGCGGCCCAAGAGGCCCCGGACGATCCTGACCACACAGCAGCGGAGGGCGTTCAAGGCATCATTTGAGGTCTCCTCCAAGCCCTGCAGGAAGGTATGGGGAGAAGGGCCCATGCTCAGCCACCTCCAGCCCCCGGGGATGTCCTGAATGCTGGGCAAGGACTTGCCCCAGCTTCTCTGTTCCCTCCTAACATCACCCTGAGAAGCTGAGCAGGCTGACACGCTGCTGTTGTTCCTCTCTCCAAGGTGCGGGAGACACTTGCAGCCGAGACGGGGCTGAGTGTCCGCGTGGTGCAGGTCTGGTTCCAGAACCAGCGAGCAAAGGTGGGTACAAGGGGTGGCCCCCCACCAGCCGTGAATCCCATCGCTTCGTGCTTTGGCTTGGGGATGATTTCACCCTAAGTTTTTCCCCTTCTCTGCCAGATGAAGAAGCTCGCCAGGAGGCAGCAGCAGCAGCAGCAGGATCAGCAAAACACACAGCGCCTGAGCTCAGGTACTCCCCTTGCACCCAGCTCTCCCCATGCTCAGGGTTTCCCCATTTTCCAGCCCTCTCCAGACTCCCCAAGGGAGCTGAGCCCCACAAAAAGCAGCAGCCTGGCCGCACCGATGGCTTGCTTTTGTCTTCCAGCCCAGACGACCGGTGCTGGCAGTGCAGGGCTGGAGGGGATGCTGAACCCCTACACCACTCTCCCCCCACCCCAGCAGCTGCTGGGCATGGAGCCAAGCGTCTATGGCTCCGACCCCTTTCGGCAAGGGCTCACCCCACCGCAGATGCCCGGAGACCACATGCACCCCTATGGTAAGGCTCTGGGGTTTGCTTCTTGCCTTCTCTGCTTCGAAGAGATGCTGGACTGTGGTGGGAGATGCGGCAATTTCTGGGAAGGCGGTGGTCCCCTCATCCCTAAATCCTTTTGCAGCAAAAACTGATGGTACCAGGCACTGTCAAGGTGCCAGAGGAGAAAGAAGGTTCTGAAGCCCTTCTCCTTCCCTGCTTTTCAAGGTGCTGAGCCCCTCTTCCACGACCTAGATAGCGACGATACCTCACTGAGCAACCTGGGCGACTGCTTCCTTGCCACGGCGGATGCGGGGCCTCTCCAGGCACGAGTGGGGAACCCCATCGACCACCTCTACTCCATGCAGAACTCCTACTTCACCTCCTGAACACGGCATGGTCCCCGGCACCGAGCAGCCACTGCTGCTGAGCTGCCCTGGGAGGGTCCACAGAAGGCCCCCCCGGGATTGGGAGGGAGGGGGATGCGTTGCTGCTGGGATGCTGTCAAACAATGTGTTGTAGCTTGGGGATTCCCAAGGAGCGAATTAAGTTATGGGTTGCGTAGTTTCATGTTTCTCTTAGGAGCCTAGGATTAGAGACAGGAGTGGTTTTTGCAGCTGGCTGGTGGATTTTCGAATTTCCAACGGGGAACCAAATTTCTCGTTTCAGCAGGGGGAAAGGCAGGGGGAGGGGGAAACCCTTCCCATGGGAGCATCCCGGTGCCATATCCCCTCTGCACCACCTTCGGCAGGAGCGGCAGAAAGAGCAAACTGCTGCTCTTCATGGGGGCAGCCGGCAGCATCAGCCGGGCTTTGAAATTTGAAAAGCTGACATGGCTTTGGGGAAACACAGGGAAAAATCCGCTGTGGGTTTTTCCCTCTGTTCCCTCGACCAGCTTGAGCGCTTGCTGTTTAAACACAGGGACTTTTAAGATAGGTGTTCCCATGTGAATGTAGAAAGCTAGAACTCCCGTAATATTGTCCCCGTCCCTGAGGACGGGGCTCTGTGTGTGTATGTGTGTGTGTGTGTGTGGGCACACACGTATGTGTGTGTGCAGAGCCGTGTGGCTGTGGGTGCCGTACTGCACGGCCACACCTGCCAGATTGTATCAACAAAGTTTATTTCTAAGTCTATCAGAAATTTACTGTACAGCAAAAGTAACTTTATTTTCAGCGTGAACCATATTTAAGGAAATACTCAGTGCACTTAAGTTATAAGATGAAATAATTTACTTTTTATAAACGTTATGTTTAGGTTGCAAAAAGCCCAGTGGCAGGGAAGGAACATCAGTTCATTTCAGGCAATAGGTTTGGCTTTCGGGGTTGGTTAATTTTGGTGCTCTCAGGTTGCCCCACTGGTTTTGAGGTGCGGTTGAAACCCAAAGCAGGGCTGGCTCCGAGGAACTGCTCCTCTGCCAGCGGAGCGATGGGGCCAGCATGGTGGCCAGGTCCTGTCCCCACTGCTGAACATGTCGAGGAGGTTGGTGTGGGGTGGACAGCGCTGGTGGACGTCCTGGCCCATCGGGGCTCAGCCGTGCTTCTCTGCATCACCTCTCTCCTTCCCATGGCAGGACCCAGCCTGCGTCCGCCAGCAACATCCTCCTGCACCCTCAAATATGGGTGCTAGACCAGTGTGAACTGCTCCCCTGGCTCTGGAAGACACTGCAGCCCGTATTGCCACCGCTTGGGTGAAGGAGAAGAAGGGAGAGCCCTGCATTTCCCACCCCATGCTCAGGTTCATCCTTGACAGAGCTGGGGGCACCTGGAGAAAGTTCTCCTTCGGGTTCCTCACCTCATCCCCACTCTCATTTTCATGCGTTGTGTCCTTTTGTGCTGCTGTTCACAAATGATGTAAGCAACAACCCGTAGAGACATGCAAGTGACTGGGAGGCTCAAAACACTGGCTCATCGCCGCTGTACGATCTGACACTGAATGTAGCGGGGTCCGGAGATGGGTGATCCGGCGGGAGATGCTGACGCGCTGTCAGAAATCACGTAACGAGATGAAATTAAAAAGACAAAAAAAAAAAATCTCTGAAAAAACCAAAAAAGCAAAAAATGGCCTGGTCTCTTCTTGCATGGGGTGTCCTTTTGACTTGGAGAAGAAAGGTTCTGAATTGTCTCCAGTGTCAGCAAGGTGTTGGGTATGATATATCTTCTGCTCCTTGGGTTTTCGATATCAAATATGCTCTGGTCTGAGGTTAAACTGCCCCTTGAGGGTCCTCCATGGCCGACAGACAGAGAATGGTGGATCTGTGTGCCACATCTACCTGTGGCTCCCACACCAGGTGGCAGTGAGGGGCTTGCTGGGGCTCTCCACCAGGCACAGCAGGACTAGCTCAGCTGTGAACAACCAACCTGGAGACCTCTGTAGTCAGCAGAGAGGACTCCCAGCCAAAATAACAAAAGAAAAAGAGAGAGCAGACGCCAGGCAACCTCCTTTACAACAGAGAACAACCCCAACCCTCCACAACAAGCCCTTGGGCAATTCTGTTTCAGGACCACCTAACAGATATAGGTGAGTACTTCCCGACAGGAGTTGCTCCCATCACAGCTGCCTAACATGGAGACATTTCACAAATATGTGCTGATGGCACCAAACTAGGGGGTGAGGATTCACAACTCGTTGTCTGAGGTGTGCAAAACAAGCTCTTCTCCTTCCTGCCCTTCATCAGTCACTGCTCTGCTGTTCCTGTACTATAAAGTGTTTTCCAAGACCAACCTGCAGAAACATAATGTTCTAAAATGGTGTAGCTGCGTGAAGAAAACTTTTGGTCCAGTCACACAGTCTTGGGATGGGGTGCTGGGCGGCCTGCCTGGACCAAACTGCTCAGCACTGTGTTCTTGGTCATCCTGTAGCCAAGTGTTTCCCCTTGCTCCCCCTAAAAGAAGACTTATTTTTAATCACTGCATAGGCTCTGTTTTCTCTTCTCACTAACATTTTTGTCACAAAACATCTCAGAGCCCTTACGTGGACTCTGTTGGCTCAAACACGAGCTGAAAAAATGCAGAAAGAAGGCTGGAGAAATGTCTAACGGGTAGGACAAGGTTTTCCATGGAGAAAGAAACAAGATGTAGTGAGCTCCAAGGTCTTCTCTTTCAGTATCTCCCCTGTGCCTGATTGCTCATTTGGGGTGTAATTAATGAGTCACCAGTTGAAGGTGTTGCAGGGGGGAAGGGCAAAACCCTATAAAAGCTGGATTCACAGGTTGGCTGGGTTTGGGAGGAGGTGGGAAGATATGCTCTGGGAAGCTGCCTGCTCTGATTTGAGATGATCCAGTGAAGGACAGCAGGGTAGGTGCTTGTGTGCAAATTTTGCTGTGTTTCTAAAGCACTTGCTCTTTCTAGGAGAGAAGTATGTGTTGGAGGTTTTCTTTCTAAAGACTGTGGTATTTGTGTGTGCTTTATTCTTGCAAAGCAATAAGAGTTAGCATTTTTTTAATGTTGGTTAAGCATAATGTTTTAACTGGTTGCCTCCAAACTAAGCTTCTGGGTAGGTATCATGGAAAGGCAAAATCCTACCTTCTAGTTTGGGATTTTGGCACAGGAAGGCTCTACGGCAGCAAGGAAAAGGGTTGGATCTGTCTTGGCATGGACAGGTTGGGGAAATTAACAGCTTGAGATTTCTGTATCGCTGGGCTTGGTGGTCTTGAAGAAATGCTGGTTCGTGCTAGTGGAGCAGAGATCTGGGCTAGGGTGAGGCTGACAGTCACTGGGGGCTGAAGGTGGAGATGTGCTTTTTGTGTAAAAAGCTGGGGGAGGTGGGCTGTATGTGTGGTGTGGAGGAGCTGCCATGTCCCATGAAGCCAGTATGAGTCCGATTTGTAGGATCCAGCTGTAGGTAACAGCCGGGTTAGCATCACCCAGGCTTGCAACAGAAAAGTAGATGTTTTCATTAATGGTTATTAAAATTGCTTTAGCAATTCCCCTCACTTGGATGATTCTTAAAACATCATGTTTAAAGTTTGGGGGTTTTAAAAGATCTTTTAAAGATAAAAGGTTTGTTTTCCCCACCCACAGCTATCTCCTACTTGAAAAATGTTCGCCTACATCAGGCTGGCTTTCCGTCAACCTAACCGCCAATTTACATTTACCAAATTACTTTCCCCAAAATAAAACCCCCATAAAACCTATGTCATACAGACCGATTGCCTACTTTTAAAATTGTGTGAAAAATGTAATGATATGCTACACTGATAGTATCTCAAGGTATGTGTCTGCATAGGTATCAAATTATTACATATAGCATGTAATTTCAGGGAAGGATCAGTATTGCAGAAGAGGACAGATTTTTTTGTCTAGTAAAATCAGCAGGATCCATGGCCTTAAACCTGTCTTCCTTCTACAAGTTGGCCTGTGTGCTTGACATGACCTGAGCGAAAGTTCAGCGTTGCAGTTGTGCAATGCGGTAACAGATGTGGGTCCTCTTGTCATCTGCATTTCATATTCGTTTGCACCTTATTTCAGGGTGTGGATGGATCCTGCCGAAGCAAAACTGGCTGGGCCTTATCTTCTGCAGGCAGAGGACTTCTCGTCAGACCGGGTGGGTTGTTGGATGTCCCTGAGTGGGTGGTGGCTTTGGACTGGCCCCTGGGGGATGTACTTTCATGGTGCTGCTTTGCCATGTTGTGCTCCATGTCTGGAGGGGGTGACTCCCTAGGGCAAATGATATCTTCTTGTCAAAGTCAGGAAGAAAAGAACAAGGTCTGTCATGAAAACAAGCTCCACCTTGCTCTCCAAGGCAAGGGCAATGCCAGGAAAAAGGCTGGGAGCTGACCTTTGTGTCTCTAGTGACTCAAAACAAAGCCCCCTCTGTTCAGACACTGCTCGGTGGCCAAGGAAAGATCAAATCAGAGATTACTTTTCGGTTGAGGACACTGATTAGATGATACTGATAGCCAGGAACGAGTGATCTCTGAGTGATACTGTGTTAATTAACTTGCTCTTTGTGAATGGATGCTACGGGAGCCCGTGGCAGACGCAGACCCGAGTGAAACTCGGAATGGTATCAGCCAATACTGGCTGGGTTTGCATCTGGAGATTTAAATCCTGATGGTATCTTTAGGTATTTGTGGGAGACTTGTAGTGTGCAGACATAGGAACTGGAGCAAGCAACCTCCCTGGAAGCATGTAACCTTGGTAGGAGATGCTGTCTAGGAAAACCACCTCCAGTTAAAGGGTTGGATCCTTGCCTTGCTTGAAAAGGCCTGGCTCAGCGTGTGGCTGAAGCCAGGGGAGCTGTGCTGGCTCCATCCAGCTGAGATGTGGGCATTAAGAGACCCAGAAGTGAAGAGCTTCCTTGCAAAGAAGAGCTCAGTGCAATGAGGAGACATATGTGTGAACCTCAGTGCCACCTCCCCAGCCCCTTGCTGAGTGAGGTGTCTGCAGGG